AAGTTTGAATATGAAAATTATCGTATCCTTTTAACTTACACAGACAACTTTGATACTTACTGATAATTGTACACACATTCGCCAATGCTGCATGTAGAATGAAGTCTTTGGGCATTAATCTTATATCCTGATGCTTTACTGACTCAATGCTCTTCAGCATCTAGCTCCACTGACCAAAGTTATCATAATCGTAATTATAAAGGTGATTCAAATAAGACTAGTCTCAAAGAAAGACACGATAATAATAATAATGTAAGAGATAAAATTTGCAATAATGATAGATAACTATCTATCTCCGACTATATAAAGAAACGGTTTCGAAAATAACAAAGGCTCTATTAGCTATAATCACAGAGAAAATACTAATAGACAAGAAACTAGTACTTCCAACGACACCTCAGTGAATAACGATTTGGCTTTTTATAAAGATACATTCTTGTCAAAAACTAAATTTACAACCGTGGAAATCATACTATCGCTAGGTAATAGTGAATATTGGTTATTTAAATTAGAAGATACAGATGCACGTATCAATTTAATTATAAAGTTGCAAGATATAAAAAATTCACCAAATATACCGCCGATTATTGGTAAAATTTATGGTGTGGTATATAAAGATTTTTGATATCGAGCTATGGTAACATCCCTGAATCCTATTATAAGGTCCACTTTATTGATTTTGGTGACGATGAGACACTAAAAAAAGATGCCGAGTTCAAAGATCTTGGAGACTTGATTAAATCTCCTAAATTTACTAGAAAAATTCGTTTGACACAGGGTACAAGTAATAAGTACAGGAATCTACAAAAGGGAGACGAAATTTCCGTTAGAATGTTGTCTGTTGATTCTGAAAAAACGATAATAGTAGAAATAGAAGAACAGTTCGCTGCAACAGCTTCGCATGCGACAGAAAGTGCTTCGAATAATGCAGCGAAAAAGTTTGTATCGCAAGAAAATTCTGAAGTACCATCAAGTAAAAGTATGAATACTTCCACAGTTCAAGTACCTCCCAGTATCTTGGATATACTTTGGCTGATTTGTTGAAACAAAATGCAGTTTCTAAATTACAAATAAATGGTTTTATAAAATTTTGTGAAACTTCGCAAAAGAATGTTTACTACACGTCTTTGCATCTAGAAGCTTATGCTAATCAAATAGCGCAGATTTATAATGTTATGCAAGTAGAATGCGAAAACACTAAAACATCTGCAGATTACAAGTGTGTATAGAATTTATAAAGATATATAAATTTTTAAGTATTTACTGAATATTATTAAGCATATATTATATTGAAATTAATAAAGTATTTCACTTTTTAGACCAAAAGCGGGAGACTTGGTTTGTAGTAAGGTAAATAGTACCTGGTACAGAGTATATATTTCACCGAGTCCTGAAACATTATCGAAATTGTCCTTCATTACTATAGATGATGCAAGAAATGTATTAGTAGATAAATTTTTGCCTTGTCCTGAAAAGTTTTTAAATATTTGTGCCTTTGGAGTAATATGCAAAGTAAATCGATACACCGAATTATTGAAAGTAGGTATTTTTGAAATATTTTGTATACATACAGATACGTATTATAGATAACCAGATACAGATTTTTATTAATGTATTTCTTTGATATGTTACTAGGTGGGACAAGTATATGAATTTAGAGCAATATATCATGGATGAGAAGAGTCGCAAACAAGAAAGTTTTAAAATCGATATAATTATCGATGTAAATCTTAAAAAACCTGAAATAATTCCAGCGGTTGTGAAGTCTTGGAAATCTTTATCAAATATTTTAATTCTGTCTGAAATAAAAAATGGATCTAAGGTTTGACATATTGCTCATTTTACTACAACGAATACAACTTAAAAATTTTTCAGAAAATAAGTTGGAATGTTTTTAAATAAGTTGAATCATTAACTTGTAATATTAATTGTATTTATAATATTAATATAATATTAATTGTAATATTAATATAATAATATTATAAATTATGATTAATATATTATGATTTCAGGTATGTCTTACAAGTTATCGAAATCATTATTATATGTTTGCACGCTCTCTAGAAGAAGATGCTGTAGAACAATCGTTAACAAGATTATACAAGCTGTTGCACATTGTGCACAGACAGGTAAAACTGATTAAATAAGTAATAAGTACATATATACATGGTGTCTAAAAAATCCCGCAATACTTCAGGAGATGATTCGGAACCCAAAGAAATGGAAAAAAGTTATATAAACATAGGTTCGGAAATAAATCGTTTCCAAGTTATAATCACTTTTATGTTAAAAAATTGTAATTTATTTTTTATAATTATAATCACAATTCGCAATAATAAAATCATTTGTTATATCCAGGATTCACCACGTGAAGGCATAGTCTGCTTGGCATTCCTCTTTTTTTTCAATTTTTTAATATTTGTAAATACGATTATATTTTTGAAATCAAGGATAAACAAACAAGTATTTAAATTGAATTAAATAAGATGTTTAATATTATTCTTCAGCACGAATGCAGGTCCTTATTCTTCTATTCTTCTATCAAAGGATTTCCCACCTCTTTGAAAAACATACCTCCTTATTTTTTTGAATTTAAAAAATAAAAATAAAAAAGAAGAATGCCAAGCGGACTGTATTTTCGTGATAAATCCTGAGTAAAAAAATGATTTATGACTATTATTACGAATTATAATTATTATAATTGTTATTATAATTATGATAATGAAAAATAAATTACAGTTTTTTTTTACATAAAAGTGATTATCTAGGAAACTACTTGTTTCCGGACTTACGTTTATATAACTTTTTGTTTTTCTTTTTGGGGAGGTCGCGAATCACCTCTCGAAGCATTGTGGGTAATATTTTGGACACCCTATATATATTTTTTTAATTTTTTATTTGATTGCAGCACCATATTTCACTGAACCTCCAAATGAGGCACAAATTGTAATTGCGCTATACACCGATGGCAACAGTATCGTGCTCTGGTACATAAAATAATACAGAATAATAAAGCTAGGATAATACACATTGATTTTGGCAATATATGCGAAATTTACATAAAAACTCTTAAAGTCCTACCATTATGTTACTTTCCAAAAGAAGTATTGATTGGCATGCTTGCATGTCAAGACAATAAAATACATTATTTTTTATTAAGAAGTCTATATATGCTTTTACAGGACCACAGCTGTGCAGCAAAAACATTCTTAAAAGATGTTCCTCTTAACATACCCACAAATCAAGACGTTGACATCTATCTTCGCGATTTACAGACAACGAAGTACCTCTAATATGTACATTCGAGGGTTCTTCTAAGGATGGAGTTCGTTTAATCACGCCTACAGGCGAATGTGTTAATGACAAAATAAATGAATTGTTAATCCCGGGGTGGAAAAGAAAGAACAGTGATGGTAATCAATCACAAATTATAATATTTGTTGAAAGTAATGCTACATTTGTTTCTCATCACAATTTTTTTTTATATAAAAACTTTAAATGCATCATGCTACGATTTAAGTCTATCTTTCAATATCTCCGAAGTACGAAACACTTAAAGTTTCAATGCATTACTTTCTCTATGTACTTTAATTACCTCAATTATTATATAATTTTATTATGTGTATGTGAATGTGTAATATAATTTATAATATATATTTATATAATTTACAAGAGTTATAAATTTATTATTTTTCTTATGCAGATTATACTTGCTATATGATAAAAGACATCGAAGTGCCAAGTTTAGGACGCAGTAGTGACACCGTAAAAGCAATAATATTGCACAAAATACGGGTAGATCAATTCACGTTGGCTCCTTTCGATTCACAATTGATATCCGATTTCTTCGAAGACATGCCCGCAATGGTAAATAACGTTCAAATTACGAAATGGTTGGTCGCACATATATACAATAAGATAATACATTCTTATTTTATTGCAGTTAAAAGAATATTGCGAAAAAACGGAATATTATATACCAAGAGTTAATGAATTATGTTTGGCATTGCTCAAAGAAATAAAAGGATTGTATAAGAAACAAAACTTGATAATAAACTGAAATTATAAAATGAAAAAAGACAAATAATCAAACTATACAATATACAACTGTCACTGTTTACAAACTTTTATAAAGACATGAGACCATGTGTTTTAAAAGCGCGGTACGACCATCTCTGGCAACTCAATATCATAAACGCCGTCCACGCGGCATTTCACAATTTTTATTTTGACGATTAAATTTGGTGTTAACTCA